GTTTCTGGTCCGTGGGGAGCCGCAACAGGGTCATGCTCTTTCCCATTATATTTTGCATCAAAAAATTTTTTGAACCACTGAACAAATTCAAAATTGTCCTGAAATTTTCCTTTCACTAGTTTGTCCACAGGGATTATCTAGGGGGAAAATTAAAGCTTGTCAAACAGAAGGGACACAGTCAAAGTCAAAAGCAAGCTCTACAGAGGCACGGCTTATGCTCAGAATTGTATACATGTGATTTTCCAAGGCCAGAACTGACTTCTCGTATATATTTAAACATAGGAGCAGTCAAGATTTTTCTCCACTAATTGGAATGGAGAGCTAGCTGATCATCTTAAAATTGAATGGTGATATCATATTATACCATTATTGCAGAAATACTTATTGCCCAAGTTCCAAGGTCAAATTTGCTCCTATTCTCCTGGAATCTGTCCATCTTTCCGTACCATCACATCTAAACTTCATTCTAGGTCTGACCTGTTGGCCCATCTACACACACTGCTCAACCCCCAACTTGGGAATGGTTCCTCACCCCCTCCTTCCCATCCTAGAAAAGAGAGCTAGAGAATTATTAAAAGACTTTTGCATATAGGAAACCAGTATAAGATCAATCCAAATGGGCAATGACGAAGGTTAGCCATCTGATGGTTATTCAGTGATTTGAAACAGTCCAGCCCAGTTTTTAATAGCAAAGAATCACACAAATTAATGCAGTCACACTAAATAGTAGTCTTAGCCCATTCTCTGTGTCTTTTTAGTGTTCCTACCTATTCATTCTTACATGAAGTTCCCCCAAAATAAGAGATGAGACTGAAATGTTAATACTGAAACCTTGCCCTGATATTGATGTACAGTACCAGCTACATGAATCATCAATTGCACTGTCCATGAACACAAAGGTTATTTAAACTGTGGAGCTCCATTTTCTCATGTCTACTCTACAGCAGTTTGGAATCTGTGGGAAGTAAAACTTGCAGTCCTTGGGACTACAAAACCAGTTGGTTGGGGCCACATGTCTGGCACAAAGAGCAAGAAGCTCAAATGCAGTAACAGTAGTCAGTAAGCAAACATGTATGTTTCAGTATGGGTTGCCATTATATTTCAAAAAGGTTGCCAAGTGTCTCCCCAGGTGGCTCTTCCCGTCACCTCCCCCCATTTTTTAATTGTCTTGGGTCACCAAGTCTTCCTGAATTGTCAAAATGGGTCCCCATCTAGAAAAGGTTGGGAACCACGGAGATAGTGAAACTCATGCTGTTAATAAGAGCCAGAAATCCAGCCCTCAGTTTAATTTCCAATTTGGGGAAGCTGGAAGCAGTGTTCCCTCAACAATGTGGCAGCCCAGTTTCACAGGTGATTAATCAACCACGCCCAGACAGAGGCTCAGGGCTCACCTCATGGAGCTGACTGACTGGGTGGGGCTGATTAATCACCTGTGAAGTTGTGCTGCCATGCAGTTTAGAGGAACACTTGCTGGAAGGGTAAGTGCTGTCAGCAAGTGAATGATTGGCAGACACATGTACACAGAAAGCCATGGGGTTCATACACTGGCAGTACAGATACCATGAAACTAAACCATGGGCACCTAAGTGCAAGGAGAACCAATAACAATTGCAACTTACTTTGTC